CCCCACCCCTCCCCCCGCCCTCCCGATCCTTCCCGCGACGTCTTCCCTTCCCGCTTTCCCCGGAGAAACATGGCCGGGAGCAGCGAGGAGGCGCCAGACTCCCGGCGAGGCGTCGTGGTAAATGCGGACTCCCGATCGCTCGCGGGGCGTGCGCTCCCCTCCCCTCCCTTCCTGGCACCCTCCTTTCCAGTCCAAGCCCGAGAGGCGTTCGGGTGACAGCGGGCCACCGCTTTGTTCTTCCCTCCCGCGGGGATCGCTTCCATCCTCAAACCTAGTCCTCCCCTCCCCGCCCCCCATCTGACGAAACACCTAATACCGTCCCTTCGCCCCGTGTTCCCGGTGTCCCCCCTCCGTCCCCCGGCCAGGAACCCGCTCCTGCAGCGCGAAGCCTGCGTCGTGCCGGCTCCCTACTCTTGCTTGTCACCAGGAGTCACTTCTGCGAGCCGGGCGGGTCCGCGAAGAACCCCCGCGTGCCGCTCTTGGGGCTCTCTGTCCCTCTGTGCTCCTCCTGACCCCTCCAGTGCGGGCTTCAAGTGTTGTTTTCAAAAAGGGCGCAGAGGATTCTCGAGGAAATAAAGTAGTTCAAGCGGGCGGAGTTTGAGCTCTGAAGCCTTTGGGACCTGGGTGGGGACTCCGCCTGGGGGGCCTCGGCATAAGCTCCGGGACAAGCTAGCGCCTCCTGAGTGTCCTGTGCCTCCTCTGTAAAGGGCAGAAAGAGCAAGCTGTGTCTGTTGAGCGAATTGGAGAGGATGTGTCGCCGGATGGGAGGATGTGGAATGGTGGGTCCCAGACCTGAATCTCTTTAGCCCCGGGAATCCTCGAGGTGTCAGCCAGAGGGTCCCCATCCCTCAGTGTCCTGGGATCAAATCTTTGCAGGAATGGTTTCCATAGCAGGTGGTGGTTATGACTGTGTCAGGTTTAACGTGAAAGGGTGGTGAGAATGGTGGGTGGGGCTAACTTGCCATTAAGATTCTCTTTGCAGAGATCAGCTTGTAATTTACAGATAATCCGTTTATGAATATGAATGGACTGCTTTAGAGCAAGTGGGTTGGGCAAGGAAGCACCTCTCCCTGAAACATAACTGTTCAGGTTGAAATGTGCTGCTCAATTCTTATCTTACTTTAACAGCAAGCCCTTTGTTCTTAAAGGATGAGAGTTCATTTATTTACTTATTCCATGCATTGACTGACCTGCTGGGTTCCAGGGGGTGTTGTAGGCTCTGAGGATACAGCAGATAGCAAGACAGAGGCCCCATCATCATGGAACTTGCATTCTAGAAGAGGGACACAGGCAATTAGTGTGGAAGCAAATAAAAGAGATCATTTCCAGTAGTTGTATGTGCAATGGGAAGAGGGTAACAGGATAGAGTAACTGGAGGAGGCGTGAGGAGAACACTTTTGCTCAGGTGGTCAGAGCAGCCTCTCTGCAGCGACATTTGAGCCAAGATCTGAAGGGCAAACAGGAGGTAGCCATGTGAGGACCTCAAGGCAGAGTGCCTCATACCAAGTGCAAAGGAATCATCATGTCCGATTTATGCTTTTACAAAAATCACTCTAGTTGCCGTGGTAGTATGGGCAGGCCTAGGGGTGGGCTGAATGGGAAAGGGATGAAAATGTAAAAAGGGAAATCATGAAGTTCAATTTGGGGCAAATTAAGACAGTAGTGTCTGTAGGGCCCACAGGTCAGGATGCACTGTAGGCGATTTGAAATTTATATTTAGAATTCAGGAGAGTGATTGGATCGATTTGGAAATCATCAGCAAATAGAATAATGTTTAATGTTTTGGCGTAGGTGAAGACACCCCATGGACATGGGGGGTGGGGGGAAGAGAAACACCCACTAAGGATAGAAACCTGGAAGACCCTAGATGTAAGAGGCAGACTGTGGAGGAGAAGCTGGATAAAGGGACCAAGAAAGAGCAGCGAAGTGGGAGAGACCAGGCAGGGTAGTGAATGCCTAGGCAACAGTTTCGTGGGGTTCCAGAGGTCAATAAGAATGTCAGATTCTGCAGAAAGAGCAAGTAGGATAAAGATGGAAAAGAGGCCACTATATTTAATAATTACAAAGCCATTAGTAGTGAGAATCTTCTAAGCAACCATCCCATTAGTAGAATGGTTAAAATATAGTACTACCATATATAGTCCTACCATATGGAACTAGATACTCTTAAAAAAGTATGAGGTAAATCTAGATGCACCAATAGAAAAAGTAGATTGTTGAAGTCTAAAAAGCAAATGAGAGAACAGTGTAAATAGCCTAATCTATTAGTGTCAATGGAGGCCCTCTTGGAAGCACGGTAATTTTGTGAAAGATGCAGGGAGGTAGTGTAAGAGGGGTATAGAGACAAGAAGCTGTTTGGACCAGCTGCCATGGGGCTCGGGCATGATAAACAGTTGATCAACCTCATGAGAACTCACTGAGATTGAAAATAATCATGCATAATGGAAATGGTGCCTGAGCTTATGTCATTTTCTCCAGTAGAACTTGGGATAATTAGATTAACCTCACGTTGGATATAGGCGGGCAGGGCAAGATCAGAATGAATTCAAGGTACTGGTGAAAGCTCATGGCATCTAGGGTAGGAAGGGAAAGAAAAGCTGGAGAGGGAAAGTATACTGGGAAATAGAGAGCCCTCAAGGATGGGGTGCAGAAAATTAATGGGAACTTTTAGTACCAGTGAAAAAGGGAGCAGGTAATAATAGCGAGCATTTATTGAGCACTTACTATATGTTTTTCCTGTATGATTCTTTAATCCTCATAAATCTGTGAGGCAGGTCTGTTATACTCCCCATTTTACAGAGGAAGAAACTGAGGCACTGAGAGAATAAGCAAATCATCAAGGTCATATCTAGCAAATGGCAGAATCAGGATTTGAGCCAGCTTTCAATCACTCTGCTACACAGGAAGCTGTGATTCCAGGGAGGAATTTCAAAGGTGGGGCCGCTCTGGAGGACTGTGTTGCTAATGTGGAATAAAGATGTGGTATGAGCTAAGGCAGGTGAAGGAGCTACAAGATGGAGTCACTGGAAGGATCATGAAGGTAGGTTGTTGCTATGTGAATGTGTTGCTAATGTGGAATAAAGATGTGGGATGAGCTAAGGCAGGTGAAGGAGCTACAAGATGGAGTCACTGGAAGGATCATGAAGGTAGGTATTGGAGGAAATCACCCAAATCTCCACCTCGGAGGTGGAAATGAAAATTCTGAGTTGGTGCAAACTTGGTGGTAGAGATGGCAAGGAGCGCAGAGCCAGATGATTCAAAGCATGAGACAAGAAGTATAATTTGTGCAAGAGAAGACAATATTAAGAGATTGAAGATGGCTCTTGCCTACAAGTGGCTTTCAGTTGATTTGGGGAGGTAGGACATTAGCATATCATTAACACTAACTGGTAGCAAATGCTAATTGCTAAGTAGAAGATGTACACCCTGCATTCAGAAATTGTGCTCAGAGTTGGCTTGTCACTTGATCTGAAGACTCCTGGCGCCTCTTTGTTACTTCTCAGGGAGAGATAAAGATCTTCTCTACCCACTTGGCTTTTCTGAATCAAGTCAGTAACATGTTGTTTGGGTTGGTTTGGATTTCACCAAAGCATTACCAAAAGAGCCATAGTTAGCACCTATACAAAATAGTTTGGCAGAGATAAGGAGAAGAGAAAAAATCTAAAATGATTGTGCTTCTGTTATGGTTGTTTCCTCCCCACCACCCCCTATGAAAATATGGCAGCATCAGAGGTAAGTAATCAGGTATAGTTCCACCTAAAACACAACTTTGCTAGGTCANGAAGCTGTTTGGACCAGCTGCCATGGGGCTCGGGCATGATAAACAGTTGATCAACCTCATGAGAACTCACTGAGATTGAAAATAATCATGCATAATGGAAATGGTGCCTGAGCTTATGTCATTTTCTCCAGTAGAACTTGGGATAATTAGATTAACCTCACGTTGGATATAGGCGGGCAGGGCAAGATCAGAATGAATTCAAGGTACTGGTGAAAGCTCATGGCATCTAGGGTAGGAAGGGAAAGAAAAGCTGGAGAGGGAAAGTATACTGGGAAATAGAGAGCCCTCAAGGATGGGGTGCAGAAAATTAATGGGAACTTTTAGTACCAGTGAAAAAGGGAGCAGGTAATAATAGCGAGCATTTATTGAGCACTTACTATATGTTTTTCCTGTATGATTCTTTAATCCTCATAAATCTGTGAGGCAGGTCTGTTATACTCCCCATTTTACAGAGGAAGAAACTGAGGCACTGAGAGAATAAGCAAATCATCAAGGTCATATCTAGCAAATGGCAGAATCAGGATTTGAGCCAGCTTTCAATCACTCTGCTACACAGGAAGCTGTGATTCCAGGGAGGAATTTCAAAGGTGGGGCCGCTCTGGAGGACTGTGTTGCTAATGTGGAATAAAGATGTGGTATGAGCTAAGGCAGGTGAAGGAGCTACAAGATGGAGTCACTGGAAGGATCATGAAGGTAGGTATTGGAGGAAATCACCCAAATCTCCACCTCGGAGGTGGAAATGAAAATTCTGAGTTGGTGCAAACTTGGTGGTAGAGATGGCAAGGAGCGCAGAGCCAGATGATTCAAAGCATGAGACAAGAAGTATAATTTGTGCAAGAGAAGACAATATTAAGAGATTGAAGATGGCTCTTGCCTACAAGTGGCTTTCAGTTGATTTGGGGAGGTAGGACATTAGCATATCATTAACACTAACTGGTAGCAAATGCTAATTGCTAAGTAGGAGATGTACACCCTGCATTCAGAAATTGTGCTCAGAGTTGGCTTGTCACTTGATCTGAAGACTCCTGGCGCCTCTTTGTTACTTCTCAGGGAGAGATAAAGATCTTCTCTACCCACTTGGCTTTTCTGAATCAAGTCAGTAACATGTTGTTTGGGTTGGTTTGGATTTCACCAAAGCATTACCAAAAGAGCCATAGTTAGCACCTATACAAAATAGTTTGGCAGAGATAAGGAGAAGAGAAAAAATCTAAAATGATTGTGCTTCTGTTATGGTTGTTTCCTCCCCACCACCCCCTATGAAAATATGGCAGCATCAGAGGTAAGTAATCAGGTATAGTTCCACCTAAAACACAACTTTGCTAGGTCAGACTGAGTT